ATATATATATATATATATATATATATATTATAATTTTGCAATGTTCTAACACTAGTGGCACAGTAAATCATTGCTATATAATACAAATTACTTGACATAAATCAACTAACTCCAACTAAAGCAAAGTAATTAAATATATATCATATATGTATAACTAAGGGAGTCACAATGAAGAGAACATAGAAAGAACTTTGTTTGCAATGAAAATCAGAAACAGATATTGGTCAAAACCATAGTTAATTGGAAACAATAAAACAGATGGAGAAGTTCTCCCTCTACCAGCAAAGTAATTTTTCAGCAAGCACTCAGAGATCCATAATTCAACTAAAAACCACAAGACACATGCACACAAATCCATCAACTGATTGAACTCACGACTCATCAAATTAAAGTTAACAATGTCAAATTACAAAACAATGCAGATAATTGCCTAAAGTTACCACTAACATCAGAATTCTTCAAACACGTTAATTCATTCAAATTCTAAGCAATGACCTAAACCTCCAACAGTATTTAACTTCATACTATTCTACAAATCATAAATAAAGGCATCAACATACATCACTAATAGAAAAATAATAATGACTTGTTTATTATACAAGAGCTTTTCTTATTATTAATTAAATTTAACTATAGAGTTTATTGAAATAAAAAATAAAGTTTATTTTCATATATTTTTTCTATAAAAACTATATATGTATATATATTATATTTAATAAAGTAATAAGTCATTCTGTAAAGCTAATTGATTTTTATAGAAGATGTTCCAAATGCTTTAACATAATCAAATGCAAAATTTAATTAAATTTATGAGAATGAGATGTTGAAATCAAATTCAAGAGAGAGACTCATGGGCCTTAGTGTGGTTAGAGTGAAGATGAATAAGTAGACTTTAAGTCCAAGTGTCTGATAGAAAGATCCAAATCCTTAATAGTGAACCATTAATGATGGACCATTCATAAATGGGCTGGTCAGAGTGGTGGGTACATCTAAGGCCGGTGATAAACACACCTCCACCATAATCAGCATAAGAAAGGTTCTTTTACAGTCATAGCATTTCGAAAAGTACTTTTACAGTCATTAGCATTCCGGAAAGTACTTTTCGGAATAGAAATTATTGTTCATATAATTCCGGAAAGAACTTTCCGTAATAGTAACTTTAATATTATGGAAAATACTTTCCGGAATTATATAACAAAATATTTCCGGAAAATACTTTCCGGAATAAGAATTTAATATTATGGAAAGTATTTTCCGAAACATTTTTATATAATTCCGGAAAGAACTTTTCGTAACAGTAAGAAGAAGAAGAAGAGGAGTGCCAGAAAGAGAAAGAAGAGGGGTGCGCAATGTCGGCAAGTGATTTTGTATGAGAAAGACTCTTACTTGTTCTATGAAAAGAAAGATTAGTACAAAAATAACTTTTAAAATCGGGGTTTTAAAATCAGTCATAAGGTAGCCATTTTAAAAGTGACGCGGTGGCCTGTACTGCAACAGAACGGCCCCAGAACGGCCCTTGCTGCAAGCAGAACGGCCCTTGCTGCAAGCAGAACGGCCTCTACTGCTTGCAGAACGGGCCGTACTGATTGAAGAACGTGACGTACTGCTTGCGGAACAGGGCGTACTGAAAACAGTACGGCCCGTTTTGCTGCAGAACGGCCAGCACTGAAAATAGAACGGGCCGTATTGCAAGCACTACGGGCCGTTCTGCTTGCAGTACGGCCCGTTCTGCTTGCGGGGAAGGGGGTGCGAAGAAGGAGGGGTATAAATTTAGGAAATTTTTTTTTTAAGGGTAATTTAGACATTTTATATATATATTTTTTAAAAGGAGGTGTGCTTATAGGAGAGTGGAGGTGTGTTTATCATGAGGCTACATCTAATGATTAGAATGAAGACATGGCCCCTCGCATAATTGTTTGTAACATTTGACAAATGACAACCACATTCATTGTGCTGACAAAAATGGACCCATCCGCGAAAACAACCTCCAGATTTAACCATACAATTACAAATCATTCAACTTTGTATTGCGACCTGTTTTGAAAAAGAAAAAAAAAATATTTTAGAGAATTTTCATAGAAAATTATTGAATTTT